CAGTAATAGAGCTCAGGACAGCTCTGGACTCAGAGTGTTGGAAGTAGTTCGTCGTCATCAGTCTTACCAGGGCCAGTGTGCATGCCAGGAGCACTGTGTGGGCAAGGCTCCCAGGCATCAAGAAGGTGCCTGTGTGTGTGTGAAATACAGTTTCCATAGGTAGCCCAGGCTAGCTTCAAATTCCCAATCTCCCTGCCGGAAATAAACACAGGCCTGGCTTAAAAGCTACTTTTTCTTTTAAGCTTCCTTCCAATAGGACAATCTCTCATGGAGAAAGACATTTCAAGACTGTAGCAACTGGTCCTAGTGCTAGTGAGGTGGAGGCTATCCTTGGCTACATGGGGAGACCTTCTCTCAAAAAACAACCCTAATAACAAAAAGCCTTTTAGTTCATAAACAAGCACATGCTTCCATGAGACAGAAGAAAAACAGGATGTTCTCCAGGCGGTTGGTATATGAAACATATAATACCATCATTTATGGTCATGTATTATAGACCTCATATCTCAGGCTGGTCTTGAACCCTCGATGTAGTTAAGGACGATCTTGAACTTCTGACCCTTCTGCTTCTAACTGGGCTAAGGGGTATAATATGCCACTAGGCCTAGTTTATGCGCTACCATGGATGCAACCCTGGCTAAGCATGCTAGGCCAGCACACTAGCAACTGAGCAACAGTCCCAACCCCCAAGAGCCTTTTTCTATGTTCTCATTCGTACCAAATGGGCCCAAGGCTAAGGGAGACAGAGCAGTACGACACAGGACCATGTACTGGGGGAATCTACTTTAGAATCGCTGGACCTTCTTGGCCCAGCTCTGCCTTCCCCTTTTAGGGATCCATGACAGCCGTGTCCATTCAACAGGACCTGGGTGCAGGATGCCCTTGACTCCAGGGTGCCTAGAAAGATCTCTGAATAAGGGAATCTAGTCCAGATCCTGCTTCCCAGAAACACCAGCCCATGGGGTTCACATGACATCTTATATGGATGGCAACAGGTGTGGACCAGTCTATACCTGAGTCTCTTGGTTCAAGGCCACAGAAGCTCAAGTTCATAGTGGACCCGAAGCTGTGGGTTGCTTACATCTCTGTGAGGATGCACGGCCACTGGTAAGGAGACAGGGAAGACGGGAACTCAGAGGCAATCAAGTCTTTGTGCTGGTGAGATGGTTCAGGGGGTAAAGGCACTAGTTACACCAGTCCAGCCATCTGGGTCCCAAGCCCAGATAAAGGTCGAACTGAAAACTGACTCTAAAGTTACCCTCTGACCCACCCCATGCCCAAGGGTATGTGTGTGTGTGTGCCAGTGCACGCATGCACAAAAACACACAAATATAGAAATGATGGTGGGCTAGACGGCTCAGCAGTTAAAGGTGTTTGCCATCAAGCCTAAGGACCCGAGTTCAATCTCCAGGGTCTACATGGTAGGAGACTCAGCTGCCTTGAGTTTCCTCTGACCTACACACATACATACACACACACACACCCTCAAATGCTCACACACAATAAGTACAACGTTGTAAAATGTTTTGGGCTAGGTGCTTGCCTTTAATCCCAGATTTAGGAGGTAAATGCAGGCAGATCTGTGAGTTCCAAGAGTACAGTGAGAATGTATCTTTGAGACAGGGTTTCTCTGTGCAGCCTGAGCTGTCCTGGAACACACTCTGTAGACCCCTGTAAACCAAGGTGAGTGCTGGCATTAAAAGCATTCAACACTACACCTGGCAATAAATGATAAATGGCTTTTTGTTTGGGTGTTTTTGGTTTTTTTTTTGTTTTGTTTTGTTGTTTTTTTTTTTTTTTTTTTTTGGTTTTCTGAGACAGGCTTTTTCTCTGTAACAGTCCTAGCTGTCCTGGAACTAGTTTTTTTTTTTCTTTAAATATTTATTCATTCATTATGTATACAATATTCTGTGTGTATGCCTGAAGGCCAGAAGAGGGCGCCAGACCTCTTTACAGATGGTTGTGAGTCACCATGTGGTTGCTGGGAATTGAACTCAGGACCTTTGGAAGAGCAGGCAATGCTCTTAACTACTGAGCCATCTCTCCAGCCCCTGGAACTAGTTCTTGTAGAACAGGCTGGCCTCCAACTCAGAGATCCACCCACCTCTGACTCCCAAGTGCTGACTGAGATTAAAGGCGAGAGCCACCTCCGCCTGGCAATAACTGCACCTTATTGCAGGAGGTAGCCATGGGGGCTCGCTCCTGAAACCCTCATACTTGGGAGGCTGAAGCAGGATTGCTAAAATTTCTGGGCCAGCCTGGGCTGCATAGTGAAATCAAAGTCAGGCACAAAAAGTTGAGGTTTTTTTACGTCTTTTACTTTTTTTTTGTTTTTTGAGACAGGGTTTCTTTGTGTAGCCTGTGCACCACTGCCTGGGTCCCATGTTGGCCTCAAACTCCTGATCTCTCTGTCTAGGACTAGGATAGGAGGTATGGAACACAGCCAGTGTCAATAATCCAATCCCAGCCCCGCTTCTGTTGTCGGAAAGCAGTGCCTCCTAGGCCACACTCTCTAACTAGGATGAAACCAGGCTGGCCTTGAATTTATCCTTTTTTCCTCTATTCCACGGGCTAGGACTAAGGGTGTGGGCTCACACCTGGCTTTAAACTAGCATTTAATAGTGCTCTTTCCAGAAAGTGTTCCAGGAAGTACTGGAGAAACCAAGAAGATTCCATCTCACTAGTTCTAAGGGTTGGAACAGTTCTGGGACTGAGATGTGAGACTCTAGTTAAGGTGACTATCTCTCCGAAGGTCACTGGAGACCTTGAGAGGACTGGCGGTCCTCCAACCCACCCTTCAGAGAGTTAGCTTTGAGCTCTTTTGTTAAGAACAAAGAACTGTGATGGAAATGCAAATGGTCCCATCAGCTGAGGGCTTGCCCTGTGGAGAGCAGCTCTCCCTCACTTGGTCTGTAAATTCATTTCAACAGATCAGTTTGCAGTCTGAGAGTTCTGCTTAGCCTAGGGGCCGTAGGGTGGGGAGCACAGATAAGACAGGGACTAGTCCAATTTGTTAGAAGTTGATTCCTATCCCAAAAAAAGGGATTTTAGTATTAGAATGCAGATTTTTAGATTTTGGTATTTGCTGTTGTTTGCTGTGCTGGGGGCTGTTTTTCCCAGAGCTTTATTCATTACAATAAATATGTGCAGGCTGCCCATCCTTTCGGCCAAGCTTTAAGGTCTCCACCCCTCAATGATGACCACGAGCACACTCACACACTCACACACACACACACACACACACACACACACGGCAAAATGGATACATCCAAGGTGGACACAGCACCTAAAGAATGACACTCAACATTCACACACACCCAGGAAAAGGAGGCACCTCCACCCCACCCCACATGCACTTCTGACTCTTAAGGGCCAGGGGAGTGCTATGCCAGTAGAACATACCGGTGGGGGGGGGGGGACGACTTACACACAAATGTGGGAGAAAAAAAAAACATTCAAAGTTTATTTTCGGACAGACAGCTTCAGCAGGTAAAACTACAGCGTAGCTCACACATTCATTCACAGGGTGTGAGAAAGCCACGGCTGGTGTGTTCTCTGTAACAATATCCACTTCACAGTGTAAACAGCTGAACAGGAGAACCAGCGAACACTTTTATCACAGGCTTCACGTACAATCCCAGAAGGAAAGGCACAACTTGGCAAAAAAAAAAAAAAGTTTTGGATCCTAAAATCAGGTGCAAGAACAGAGGAAAGGAAACTGGCGGACGAGCCTCCATCCTCATTTTGGCAATGGTATTCCACAGGGCAGGAAGAAATCTACCCAGGAGCTGTGAAAAGTCCCTCCTCCCTCATTAAACCATCAGAACACTGTTACAACAGCTGCTCAAAATTATACGCACAAAAAAGTGTAATTTTTTAAAAAAAGAAAAGAAAAGGGCACAGCACCAACCAAGGGGACATCCTGAACATCTGGCCCTTCTCACCACATTAACTCTTAGGTTTAAGACCCGGGAATACTTTGCAGTCACCAAATAGCAAAACAGACTTTTTGGCTACAAAAATAAAAATGAGGTAGATAAATTAAAGTCCTCACACCCAAGACTTGCCTGTCTCAACGTTATAATCTTCACAAGAGGGAGGGTGGTGTGAAAAGTCTTCAAGACTCAGGACAAGGAAATTCAAACAGAAAGAGAGGAGCTGCAGGAGACTCGCTGGTCCTGGTCCCGGAGGAGGGAACTGCAGTCCCCCAATGCAACAGGCACCTGAGGAGCCACACAAAATCACCCCAGGTGCCCGCTCTGGACCCCATCCACTCCAGGGTCTGGGAGAAGGTGATTTGTGGTAGAAATGGGGGGCGGGCGGCACTCTTGGGGCTCCCAATCTTTTAAATAAGCAGCAGAGTAAGTGGTGGGCTCTCTTAGGGAGTTTGTGGAGGGTGTCGTACAAGGATGTCAGGTTCAAGGAAGTGGGCTAACTGGACCAGCTTAGTTGTGAGGTTTCTTCCTCCTTTCTCTGAAAGTACATTCATAAACAGAAGATGAGAATACAGGGTCGGGAGGCAGATAAGCCAGGTCCCCACAAAGATGTCCATTACCCGCATTAGTCGCCCACCGTGGAAGCACACAGCCCTCTCTCCCCTGGACTGCGGCGAGCTGTCACTTCCACTGTGGGCCAATTGCCCCAGCTGTTTCACTTTGATACAGGTGACAGTCTTTAGAAACAGCCACGAGGTCACACAAAGCTTCTAGGATACAGTTTGTCCCAAGGAACAAAGCTACTCTTCAAAACCCGCTTCTTTGCAAAACTTAAAAAGTCTGTTTTGGTGGATTTTTTTTTTCCTGTTTTTCAATTTTCCTCTTTTTTTTGGTTTCTTTTTTCCTTTTTTGGGAAGCAGCATAGCAACGGTGAGATTGTAGAACTGCCCAAGGCTGTGGTCATAAGCGTAAACATCACTTGTGTATCAGGAAGGGAAGCAGGAGATGGTCAAGGGAACGAAAGAAGGAAGCAGATCTCTCTCCAGCTGCACGCCCCCACCCCCCTTAGCTGACTGCGATCTTGTTTTCTTCCAGAAAATGGGGAAACTGGTGTTTGGCCACACCATCAGGAACAGCAGGCTTCTCCACGTTCCCGCCCACAGCAGACTGAGAGCCATCGAGCTTAGAAAGCGTGGCATTGCTCACCACAGAGCTGGCCCCCAGGGACACGGGCAGGGTGGGGATGCCTCCGCTCTGGATCACAGAGATCTCATTGGTCTTCATGGCCAGGCCCCCATTGAGGACGCTGGTATACTGGTTCCACGTGGTGGGGTCCACACTCACCGCCGCTGGGGGAAGGAGTTCCTTAGGGAACATCTCGGGCACTCTCTTTCCCTCGGAGCCTAGCACAGCCATGCTGTTCTCTATGGCCAGCTTCCTGCCCCGGCGGGCAGAGTTATTGTTGGCCCCATGTGTCATGTAGTGTACCTGTGGGGGACAGCAAAGAGGGTTTCATCAGATAGAGTCCCCTGCCTGTTCGAAAGCCTAAGTCAACCTCCACGTGGGTGTTCGCCTCCATAAAGTATGCACCATCCAACCTTCAAAATACACTTTTTCCTAGAAACTGCACAGGGGTGGTGGACAAGTTTGAGAGGGAGGAGGGCCTTGAGTTCAAGAGCAGCCTGGGCAACACAGTAAGACCTTGTATCAAGCCAGAAAAATAAACTCAGGTGTCTGACGGTTTAAGAGGATTTTTGTACATATATTGGGGAAAGAGGTGAGGGGACATCTTTGGCCAACGCCCCTACCAACATTAACAAGGGTAGGAAATACTCTCCAGCCGCATCTGCCTAGCCATCCATGGGTGCATTTACAGAAATGCTTACACGAGACATCATGTCTGAGCTTAACAAACCTGTTACTGAGTAGCAGTGACGTGGAAAAGCTCTGTAAGCAGACTGTCTGCATTGAGGTTCTCGCCCTCGTGTTATTGTTACTTTACCCCCACTGTGGGGTAAAGGACAGGTGTACCTCTTACTACATGTCAATCTCACAAATATGCAAATGGAAATATTACTTAAAAGGTGATTTAAGCCAGGCGGTGGTGGCGCTCAATCCCAGCACTTGGAAGGCAGAAGCCATCGGATCTCTGTGAGTTCAAGGACAGCCTAGGCTACACAGAGAAACCCTGTCTTGAAAAACAAATAAATAATAAACCAAACAATAACAAAAGAGACAAGTCTCTCTGACATTGAATACTCCCCACCCCTACACCTTCACCTCCAAAGAACTGGAACCACCAAGCCTAGTTTAGAATGTGCTGGGGACATCCCAAGGACTGTACGAATACTAGGCAAGCACCTCAAAACCAGCTACACCCCAGTACCAATGGGTCTGTAGACCAGACTGGCCTCAAACTTGCAGAGATCAACCAGCTTCTGCCTCCCAAGTGCTGGGATTAAAGGCGTGCAACCACCACTAGCACCTGGCCAGTCTTAAACTTTTTTGGAAGTGCAGGAGATCAGACAGAGACTTCTGAAAGAAGCCAGTGTCTAACACCAAGTGGTGAGAGGCATCTCACACAGGTGCTGAGAACTGAACTCAGGTTCTCTGCAAGAATCCCAGTTATCTAGAATACTGGGATTACAAGTGTGACTCGCCACAATGCTTTATCTCACACCAAGCTCAAGAGCATCACAGTTCAGAACTAGAGGATGGAGCGGTTAGGAGCACTTGCTACTCTTGCAGGGCCTGAGTTCGACTCCAGAACCCACATGGGAGCTCAGACACATCAATTACCTGACTGACAACCTTCCTCTGACCTCCATTAGAACAAGGCACAGCCATGGTGCATTCATACACGAAGGCAAAACACTTGTACCCACAAAAGAAGATGGCTAGGTATGGTGGCTCACACCCATAATCCCAGCAGTCAGGAGGACCATGAGTTTAAACCGGCCTAGGCTACACGAGATACAACACAGTTGGGGCATGGTGTGGTGGCCGTGTGCCTGAAGTCTCAGTGCAGAGACAGGTGGATCTCTGAGTTCAAGGCCATTCTGGTCTACACAGAGAAACCCTGTCTGGAAAAAAAAAAAACATAAGACAAAACAAAGCTAAAAACAAAAGAAAAAGGAAAAAAAAGAAGAAACACACACAAAACAAAGACTAGGGCTAGAACTCAACTTACCCAGCAATCACAAGACCCTGGGTTCGCCGGGCGGTGGTGGCGCACGCCTTTAATCCCAGCACTTGGGAGGCAAAGGCAGGAGAATCTCTGTGAGTTCGAGACCAGCCTGGTCTACAAGAGCTAGTTTCAGGACAGGCTCCAAAACCACAGAGAAACCCTGTCTCAAAAAAGCAAAAAAAAATCAAAAACAAGACCCTGGGTTCTCAGCAAGACACTAAATAAAAACTAGGTTTGGAGGCAGTCTGTCACACTAGCAGTCAGAAGGCACCAGCAAGGTCATGAGTTCAAGCTCAGTGAGTTCAGGAGCCTGGAACACCTTTCTTCCCAAAACAAAAGCTTCATGCGCTGTCTGAGATGTAGCTGTGCTCCAGCCTGGCTGTCCTGGAATTCACTGTGCTGACTAGGCTGGCCTCAGAGATCCACTTGCCTCTGCCTCCCCGGTGCTAGAATAAAGGCGGGACTGCAATAGGTTTTCCCCTTTTCAGTGGTGCTGCAGCTGGAGCCCGGAGCTTGTAAATATTAACCCACCACTATGGCATTGTGCTGCACCCTAACCCCTAACCCCCCTTTTTGGAAACTGGGTCTCACTATGTAGCCTTAGCTGGCCTGGGAACTTGCTATGTAGATCATGTTGGCCCTCCAACTCAAGAGAATCCCCCTGCTTCTGCCTCTGGGATTGCAGTGTTCAAAATTAAAAGGCCAAGACACCATAAACCGGTGGATGTTTTCTACCCATAGAGGCCACAGACCAATCCGTGAGAACCCACCTTCAGGTTGCCTTTAGTGGTGAAGGCTCTCCCACAGATGTTGCAGACGAAGGGTTTTTCACCTGTGTGTGTCCGCTCGTGGATCTGAAGGGCGCTGGCAGATGAGAAGTTCTTTCCACAGCGTGTGCAGCAGTGTTGCTTGGCCTGTCGGCGTGGCTGTGCTGCGAGCAAAGGTGCCATGCCTGAGGACATGCTGGAGGATCCCACAAAGGTACCAGGAACTTCAACTTTGACATAGGTGGGCTGGGCTCGGAGAAACGTTGATGGGATGCTGGTGCGACCTAATGGGGAGAGGTAGGAAGAGAGATCAACTTTTGTCATCTAATAGCCAACTCACTGTCTGAAACAAACCCTCCACGACAATCGTCTGCTAGGCAAGCTGAGTAGCTCACGTAGCTCACAGTTCAGCAGCAGCTTGAAGTTTTTCAGTGTGTGTATACATGTGTACATGCCGGTGTAGAAGTTCAACGGCAGCCTTGTTGTTCCTGTTAGCAACCAGCTCTTTGAGACAGGGTCTCTGAAGGATCTAGAATATCAGCAGGGGGGCTACTGGCCTACGAGCTTAGTGATCTGCCTTTCTCCCACCAGCTAACAGCGGTTACAAACACAGCATGTCTGGCCTTTTACATGGAGACCTGAACTCAACTCAGAAGCGAGTGCTTAACCAATCACCAAGCTCACCCTTCTGAGTTTTTATTTACACAGAAAACAAAACTCACTTAGGAAAATTTGCCCTTTTTATGGTGTAAAGTATGGGTAACAGAAGTATGCGTGCAGGTAACATTCAAGTCGGAATAAGGTATCATCTCAGCTATTTCACTGGGAAGTAGAGGCAGGAGGATCTTACTGTAGAATGAATTCAGGCTGGTATCCTCCCCAAACCCCTAAAAAAAAAGTCAGATATGGTGGTGCATGCCTTCAGTTCCAGCACTTAAGAGGCGAGAAGGCAGGCTGATCAAGTCTGAAGTCATCCTGGTCTACATAGTGATACCCTATCTGAAAAGAAAAACATCAAAAGGATGAAGGCTGGAGGGCTGTGGACCAGAGAAGGGGGGGGGGGGGCTAACCTAGGTTAAAATCCCAGCAGCACAATGAAGTCACCATCACACCAAACCTAGGCATTTTCTGTGATTCTAATGAGGTATTCTGGATCAATGGACATCACCTGACACATCTAACATAGTATTGTCTTCATACATGAACAGTTTCAGAACTGGACCCTCAGTTCAAGCAACTACTGCTTGATTTATTTTCGTGGCCCAAACAGTGCCTACTTCCTCAAATACCTACCCATGGGGTCAAAAGAGAAAAGAAAAAAAAAAGAGAGACAAACCCAACATCCATGTTGTCCATATGACCCATGATAGAGTCTACCAGGTACTAAGACAGAGGCAATTATCAGAGCCCTCTACCCAGAAGTACATAATAGCTAATTGCCCTACAGAAACGTCAAGTTCAACCCAGGCTCTTTTTCTGGTGACCTCGAGCCCAAAAGGGACATTAAGTGAAATCCAAAGCTGCATCACCTTCCGTGTCAATGCGGCAGCTCTCGATGCCATCGGTCTTGTTCACCTCAGGAGACCGGGACTTGACGCTTTCTGCTTGGCTATTGGCAGGGGACACCGCCTGGAAGCACATGGTTTCCGCAGCCTCTGGGCTTCTGCTCTGACATTCCTGCTCACCCACAAGTGAGGACGAGTCATTGGCCAGGCAGCTGTCACTCTCCACCGGGCCGTTTTCTCGGCTGCTCTGTCGCTGCAGGACCAGAGGGGAAGGAGCCCCTTTCCCCTGATTATCCAGGGAAGCCATCACAGAAAAGCCCAGAATGGGTGACACCAGGTGGGCACTGGGAACTGATGCGGAGACCTTGGCGGAGCCACCGGGGACATCCTGGGAACAGACGCCATCTGCTTCAATCCTTTCCACCGTGTCTTCCTGGCCGAGAGCACTGGTATTGCCATTCTCGCCCATGACCATGGGCTCGGGACTGGTAAAGTCACAGGGGCTTTCTGGCAGGGGCGTGTTAGGGATCTGGCCACCCATGTGCATGCGGATGTGCTGCTGTAAGAGGACGGCGTTGGTGAACTTCTTCTGGCAGATGGGGCACGAATGTTGTGTCTTCACGGCGGTGTTGTTGGTTCGGTGAACCCCAAGGTGTGTCTTCAGATTGCCTTTGGTGGAGAAGGCCCGGCCACAGACCTTACACTGGAAGGGTCTCTCCCCTGTGTGGGTCCGGTAATGCATCTTGAGGGAACTCTGACAGCTGAGTACCCGGTGACAAATGAGACATTCATTGGGGTCAGTAGTGGCCTTGTCAATGTTCTCCACGAGTTGCTGCAATTTCAGAGTCTCTGATCCTGACTCCGGGGTCCCACTCCCCTGGAAGCCCCCAACCCTTGGGGGAGTGTGCACCAGTCCCACCCCAAGTAGTGGAAGTCCCACCTCACTTTCTGCAGAAGGCCCTGGCTGCATGTCATTGGGCAAGGAGCCACCCATGAGGTCCTTGGGATTGGGCCCCTGAGGGAGCTTCTGAGGTAGCCCTATGGGAGGGGTTCCCAAGACATGGACAGGCTCGGTGTCTACAGAGAGACTCGATTCATCTACAGGGATGGGGACAGAGAGTGCATAGGGGGAGCCGGTGCCTGGTGTCACTTTGTCCTGGAATTCAGCAAACAGCTGCGGGTTTGCCTTCACCTGAGGGTGTCGATGGAAGTGTACCTTGAGGTTGCCCTTGGTGGTGAATCGGTGACCACAGACAGAGCACACGTAAGGTCTCTCTCCGGTGTGGGAGCGGAGGTGGATCTGCAGGGAGCTATCGGTCCCGAAAACCTTGCTACAGTACTTACACTTGTGTTTGCCGAGGATGGCTTCGTCCTTGGCCTTGGCATCCAACGCCGATGCAGAGATGTTTGGGGGCTTCCCCTTTCCTTTCTTGGACGGGTCGAGTGCCACAGTGGAGAAGGGGCTCTGAAGAAGCACAGAGCCCGGGGACTGAGGTAGCAGGGCACTTGGAAGGCGAGACATGAAGTTGGGGAGAACCCGAGTTCCTCCATCAGGCTTCAAGGCGAAGGGCGGAAACCCTGAGGACAAGGAGCTGGCTGCAGAGGGGACACTGGCATGAGGTAGTTTGGCTGGTTTCAAGGCATCTAGAGACAGGGCCGGGTTTGAGGATTTCTGGCTGAGCAGAGCCACAGCGGCAGACACCTGCTGGGATACGGACACCTGCTGAGACACATGGTTGCTTAAGGCCTTCAGAGTGTCCGCACCGGCCACTCCGGAGTGGAGGGCATGTGCGGCCCACATGTTCACCTGGACACGGATTTGTTCTGTAAGTTGGATCTGCTGGAGCTGCTGCTGCTGCAGACAAAGGATCTGCTCCAGGACCCACGGGATGCTGTGGGCAGCTGGTACGGGTGCTGCGGGGGCATCCACACTCCGCTGGTTCACTGCCACCTTGGTACCACGGAGCGCCTGCAGAGTCACGTTGGTGTTGGCCACTTTGCCTTTAGGTAAATAGCTTATGTCCTGGGGTGTAGGTGGCAGGGCATTCTCTGTCTTTAAGTACAGGATGGAGTCCGTGCCCAGCTTTTCCTTTGAGTCCCCAGAGTTGCTGCTGTTGTCTTGGTGACTGTCCTTATTACTTGGGCTGTCTGGCTGGTGGCTCAGGACACCTCTGGGGAAGTCATCTGAAGGCACTGGCCCCTCACTGTCATTCATGATGAGGACAGGAGGATTTTTAGTGCAACTTTTCTTGTGTTCCAGGAACTCAGAGAAACTGAAGAACTCAGCACAACACTTGTCGCAGATGTGGGTCTCCTCCCGCCGGGGGCGCTTCACCAGGGCCGTGTCCTCCATCATCACCTCATTGCCATTTCCTGGGGAGTTCACTGGAGCACCTGTGCAAGGGGAGAAAAGAGTGAACACTCTGTCCTGAAAGGGGGCGTGGAACGAAGTGACAGACAGACAGACAGGTCTCCATTATCACAGGTCTTGACTCATGAAGACTGTATGAGGGACCAAGTACTACTTACTTACGGTCTGAATGACGTAAAACAGGGTATAAGGAATTATGCCTCCCTAGAAGACACCAAGTCTCACACCCCATGCCTGTCAGAGTACACAACTTTGTCTAGATGAAGTCTTTATTAAGAGGCCCAGGCCGCCCCAAACCTGCTTTGTAGCTGAGGCTAGCTTTGAACTCCTAACCCTCCCTGCCTCTACTTCCAGAGAGAGCTGGGATTACAGGAGTCTGCTGAGAAACTATCTGAACACCAGTCAGAATGGCTTTGATTGAGAACACCAATGACAGATTATGCTGGAGAGGATGGAGTAAAGGAAACAGGTATGGGCATGGACGGAATCCAGGAGTTGTTGTGGGGAGTAGGGACTATATTACTAAAATAAATTGTACGCATGTTTGAAATTTTCAAATAACTAATAAATATGCTGTACCTGGCTGAAGTGATGACTCAGGTTAAGAGCATTTGCTGCTCTTGCAGGACTGGGGTTTGGTTCTCAGCACCCATGTGGCACCTCACAACCATCTGTAACTACAGTTCCAAAAAATCTGATTACTTCTTTTGACCTCTGAGGGCCCTAGGAAAGCATGTGGTGCGTATACATACATGCGTGTGTGTGTGTGTGTGTGTGTGTGTGTGTGTGTGCGCGTATGAGTGTGTGGGTATAATATAAAATTGAGAAAGGCTTTCAAGGGGGTAACGGTAGATGTGTGGAAAGAAGATGCAGGTAAAAGGACACAGAAGTCATAAAAGACGACAGAAAGCTATTTTTTTAGTTTTAACCTGCAGGGTTTTTTTTTTTCATTTTTAGTGCTGGATAAATGCACAAGGATGCACTGGACAGTGAAAGGGTAAAGCCTTGAGCAAAGCTGCACAGCTTCAGAATGGACGTTCTGATGGCACAGTCAGTCACTGAGATTCATAGGGTTTCCTTAAACAACTGTGTGATGTTTTCATGTGAGTTAATAAGGATAAGGTGATTTTACTTAAAAAGATCTGTTCTATGACTGGCATTTGTTGAAAAAAAAAAAGGAAGGAAGTAAGGGAATTAACACCCAGGGCAAATGATGTCACCAAGAGACTTGGAGACCTGAACTTCAAAGTCACAGACTGGGAACTGGACAGGGTCTTTGGCAAACACATTAGGCTCAGTGTTTAGCATCACTCTAAGAGGAAGACTAGGGACCAGCAAGACAGTCACAGAGAATGGCGCTTCCTGAAGGCCAAGGAAGAGATGGAGTTGAGGGGCTTCACCAGAAACTACTGAAACCATCCATAGGAACCTTCAGTTTCCCAGAGCCTCGAGGAGGAACCCTGTCACCTCAGTTCAGACTTTCCACACCTGTGAGAACGAGTCAAGGGCTGTCATCTGACCTGTAAAGTTACAGCAATAACCGACACACAGCTATTTTATTATAGGATCTTACTTTGTAGTCCAGGTTAGCATTGAACTCACAGCAATCCTGCCTTGGCTTCCCAGGTGCTAGGATTACAGTCATGTGCCACTACTAGATGGTTAAACCAATCCCCATTGATCCCTGGAAAGGCCAATAGAGGGGGCTGGAGAGATGGCTCAGTGGTTAAGAGCACTGACTGCTCTTCCAAAGGTCCTGAGTTCAATTCCCAGCAACCAGATGGTGGCTCACAACCATCCGTAAGGAGATCTGGTGCCCTCTTCTGGCCTGCAAGCACACATACAAACAGAATACTGACAATACTGTATACATAATAAATAAATATTAAAAAAAAAAAAGGCCAATAGAGGACAACCAATACTGAGGACATTGGAACCTGACCTCCTCCATGACCCAAGCAAAACAGAAGACAGGGGGCTGGAGAGATGGTTCAGAGGTTAAGAGTATTGCCTGCTCTTCCAAAGGTCCTGAGTTCAATTCCCAGCAACCACGTGATGGCTCACAACCATCTGTAATGATGTCTGGTGCCCTCTTCTGGCCAACAGGCAGACAGAATATTGTATGCATAATAAATAAATATTAAAAAAAAAAGACAGAAGACAGTAAATCACATTTCAACCCAGGTAGCAGAAGTTTAAAGGTGCTGCTAACAAGGCAACACCAATCCATCCCAGATTAGGCAAGCCTGTGCTATCAGGTACCTGGGAGGCTGAGGTAGAAAGATCATGAGTTCAAAGTCAGCCTGGGAGCTGGACCTTGAGGACCTTTAACCATAGCACTTGGGAGGCAGAGGCAGCAAGATCTCTAGGAGTACAAGACCACCTGGTCTACAGACTGAGTTCCAGGACAGCCAGGGCTACCCAGAGAAACCCTGCCTCCAAAAAAAACAAAAAAATAAAGGGAGCCTATGGCCACGCTCCTCCATCTGCTGCCTTTCAATTCCTAGGCATTAAACACACAAGACTCAAGTTAGGAGTATTCCACTTGGTTTTTTTCAATGTAAGACAGTGCAAAAGCAATGACTTCAACACCTGGTGTCCGCGATTCTGAATCCTTTCTCCCTTTATCACTTCTGTCATCTGTGGCCACATGGATGGGTTTGCTCGTGCAGTTCCATGCATGGAAATCAGGACAACTTGTGGAACTGGTTCTCTCCTCCACCCCTGGGATCAAGAGATTGGACGAGACCAATTGAATCTTAACCAGCTGAGCCTAGAACATGTCTTCAATATTGTTTTCTGAGAGCCTCACAAAGGCCAAACTGATCCTCATCCTCCTGCCTCTTCTTCCCGGGTGCAGGATCTATACATTTGGGGGGGGGGGGGTGGTTATGACAGAGTCAACTCTCGCACGCTGGGGAAGCACCTAGCACCGCACAGCAACCCAGCACAGCCACGGTTTTGACTGATGTGACTGCCAAGTTCAATCTACCACAGCCTTAATACAACTCTCAAGTGTAATTGATTTTGGACCAAGTGACAGGATGGTACATCATGAGGCTTGTGTAGCTTGAGGGAACGGACAGGACAATAGCCAAGGCACCAAGTCCCAAGTCCTGGATTTACACCTTAAGAAACGTTTATCAAGGGCCTGGAGAGATGGCTCACTGGTTGAGAGCACCGGTTGTTCCTGCACTGGACCCAAGTTCAATTCCCAGCACCCACATGGCAGCTCCCAACTGTCTGTAACTCCAGTTCTAGGGGATCTAATGCCCTCCTTGGACCTGTGGGCACCGCACGTACATCACACACCACACACACAGACACACACCCCTTTGTAAGGAAGCCACTCAAACTCAAAAGATTTTAAAAAGTCCCTATCTATAAATGTGATGCAACTAGGCCCTCAGACGTCAAGTCACGCCCCAAACATTACTCAGCAGGTTCCTTCCGCACTGAGGAGGGGGCACTGGAGACAGTGTTAGGTCTTTCCTGGTACATACAAGTCCTATGACCACACTCTTCTCTCAGCAATACAGGGAAGACTAGGAGATAAAGGATCCGCTGACTAGGAAGCCCTGGAACAAGAACACTTTAATCCCCGAACAAGAAAGGCAGGGGCAGATTCATCTGTGAAGTCCAGGTCACCAGGACCGTAAGGGCCAAGTAGAGAGAGACACTGCCCATTCTCTCAAAAAAAAAAAAAAAGAGGGGAAAAAAAACCTGGGAATGGCTTAGTTGGCATGGGAGCTGGGCAGGGTGTGTCAAGACATAATGTCTACAGGGAAGTAAAACTTTTGCCTCCTAGACAGGGTCTGATGGTCTGGAATAGAAAACAGTAGACCAGGCTGGCCTTGAACTCAGAGAGGCAACTGCCTCAGACTCCAGAGTGCTGGGATTAAAGGCTTGTGCCACCATCACCAAAAGGTCCAACCAGGGTGCAAAGGCTCCCAGTGAAGTCTGGGTCTCCGTTCTGCCTTCCCACAGCACCCACTCCTGAAACCACTAATGTCTTGCACAGACCATCCCGTTTCTTCTCCTCAGGCTGGGTCAAGTGTCCCAGACTGCCCTGCTCTCCAGCCCAGCTTCCAGCTCTCTGGTGCTAGAAAATGCTTGAAACACCACATCTAGTTTTAAGGTTTCTGAAAGGCTGAAGATGGACTCCACAGCTTAGCTTCAAGCACGCTGGGCAAGCAGTCTACCAAGAGGACCCCCATCTACACCCCCATCTGTCTTTATACGAAGTTAACTAGACCAACTTTGTAGTCAGGCCTTTGACATACCCTTGAACCCATTTTGCAGATGTATATATACACTTAGGCTCAGCAAGAAGTAGGTAACCACATCTATTTCTTTCTTTCCTTTTTTTTTCTTATGTGCCCTAGGCATGAAACAGCTTTGGCCACCAAGATAGGCATCAAGCTAGGATGAACAAAGGACTCCATCTGCTCTGTCCCTGGCTGATACAAGACAACACCACCACCAAGGTGTCTCTTTGCCCATTGCCAGGGACTGCACATCTATTTCTTAAACTGCACCAGTTTCTGGGCAATTTCTCCATTTCTCGCGTCATTCCTCCTGACGTGTGAGCACCGAGTGTTTCCTGACCTCGTACATACCAAGAACCAGACTCTCCCAATTCTAAAGCAGGCATTTGAAAATTGTTGAGACAAGGTCTTCTTTGCTCACTAAATAGCTCAGGCTGACCCCAAATTCCTGACAAGACTCTTGCCTCAGTTTCCCAAGTACTGGCATTTATTATAAGAGTGCACTACTCTGGCTGGGCAGTGGTGGGTGGCACACACCTTTAATCCCAGCACCCAGAAGTAAGTGGATTTCTGTGAGTTCGAGGCCAGCCTGTTCTACAAGTGCTAGTTCCAGGACAGCCAGGGCGGTTGTACAGAGAAACCCCATCTCGAAAAAGAAAAAAAAAAAAAAGAAAAGAGTGCACGAGTGCATACCACACCCAGCTCTAAGGCAGCAATCTTAACCTGGAATCCATTAAGCTCACCTTAGACTTACCATTCTTTCCATCGGGGATGTAAGTATTAACACCTCAGACTGTCATACACCAGACTCTCCGAATGATACCAGAGGGTGCTATGGCTCTTGCACTTTCTGGGTAACTGAGGCAGTTGGCTGGCAGATAGGATACCAGGCCTGCCATTTTATCAAAAAAAAAAGGGGGTGGTACACGTGACTGCAATAGTCCCCTAATATCGGTAAAGGGGGGGACCCTGTAGACACCAAAGCCAGAGGTTGAGAGGGTCCTATCAGTTACTACCAACTCACCCTCTGGTATGACCCCCACCCCCACACTGGGTAGGAAGGGCTCTCTCCCACTGAGCAGTTATCTCCAACCCCAAACTTTAATCTCCAGGATTTAGCGTACCCACCTGCAATGCAAATACTATGTAAATAGTTCTGGGACTGCATTGTGTAAGGGAGAAACAGCCAGAAACAATAGCCAGCATGGGGTCACCTTTGCCGTGTTCAAGAGTCTTTGAGCGGGTGAAGATAAGGACTAAATGTCTGTTCGCCAGTCACTGCACTTTGCTCCCTAGAATTCTGTGCCCTCTCAGCATTCGGCTGAGAAGGGGTCTATGACACAATCCAGGAAGATCCCCCAGTGATAGACAGGCAGGATGCCAACTGCCTTCACTACTGAATACACAAGCCCCAAAGCCACCTCAGCCCCTCTCCCTCCTGCCTGGCCGCTCACGGCACAGGCAACACCCACCTAAAACTGCAGCCTAAAACTGTTTGCTTAAGCAGTAAAAAACCACCTTGGCCATACCACCGTCGGCAAATAGTGGGACCAGTATCTGCAGGAGGAGTATCTGTCAGGAACAACTGCTGGCTATGCTTAAGTTAGCCTGAAGGGAAGGAAAGCCAAAGTCCACAGGGAGAGCGCCAGCAAGCCGGGCTTCCATCCCCCACCCCGAAATTGAGGAATGTTATCTCTCCAGCATCTAGTTATCCAGTAAAGTTGGAAGAATGCAGTAAACCCAGCAGGGGTCTTAGATTCAATCTCGGGCCAGATGGATGGAAAATACCCTGACTATTGTATAGGAAGAAAGCTAATCAGCCAGGAGGCCAATCCCTGGCCAGAGACACTCAAACAGTTAAAAAATAAAATAAGATCTGTACATCTCGATAAAAGCCTGGCGACTCAGGTTTTGCTTATCTGTTACTGGTCCTGTATTAGAAGAATGACAATGAGCAGCTTACCTAAGGAACCCAGTATCTCAGGCCCAGCCCTACCTCCAGGATAAGTGCTTACCAAAAAACAAAAAGGAATTATGTCTCTGGATATTATTGACCCAGCTGTAAGGGCTTAAAAAAAAAAAAAACTTGTTTCACATAGCAAAGCTTTGTAATCTACATGGAGAGGTAGAATCTGACCTAATATTATGTCTCTAGTTAATAAAAAAATCCACAAAAATTAAAAGCAGTCATGGATCAAAGTTCAGGGGCCCCATGGAAAAGATTTGAAATGGTAAAGGGGGAGCCACGGGAATGGTCAAGACAGTTGCCACCACATCTACAACCAGAGTCAGATCAGCTAGCCTACTCCACATGCACCTAGAGGCAGCACAGAGAAAAAAATTAAATTTTTTTAAGTGAGGGAGACCCTGTCCCCTCCTGCCTCAACTGGAACAAGCTTGCACACACCAAAAAGCAGAGGTCTGTCTCCATCCCTCCCACAGCTTTAATACATCCAGGTGTGTCTGTTAAAAATAGTACAGATTAAAGCGATAATGGTTATTAACCTCCTGAATTCAACTCCTTTCTTTTCAAATCACATGCCCCCGAGAAATGAACCCAAATTGTTTTAGTTCTGAGTTGTTTCCTGGGGGGGCCCTTCCTCCACAGCTTCTAAAGGCAATTTGGAAAGTCAAAAGGGGCTGCCTAGAGTGGCAGATGCTTCCAATTCCAAAAGTTGGAGGCAGAGCCAGGAACATCACATCACAACTCTGGAGGAAGCTGGGATGGTTAGGGCCACGAAGGTGCCGTGGCTACCCAGACAGACCCTGTGTGGAGGAAAAAGAAAAAGGGCCAAGCCAAATCAGTTTCAAGCACTAACCATGGTTGCCTTTCACAAAGGAGACCATCCCATCAACAACTGCTCTGGGACCGTCGACAAACACCCCATGGATTCAAAGAAAGCTAGAGTCAAGTTGGAGGAAAACCACGGACCAAGCCAACTTTCCAGTGGGTAAACTTCCAAAGCTACTTCAGTCTTGAGAATGAATGCAAAGTTCCAGCCTGGGGTCTGGCACACAGCATGTTCCCGTTTCTAAAACTAGTATAAACACCTTGATAAAGTCTCCGATCACACTCCCAATACACAATCACCTTCTTCTATAACACATTTTCACTGCCAGTGTACACAAGTACCCAAAGCTGGCTGGGCGGGTGGGGGGATAATACCCCTAGACAAGGCTACACCCAGAATGGAATGCTGACGGTCTTCCAAATCTTGCCAAAATCCTTTTCTCCAAAATCTCATTTGACACTTTACATCCAAAAGGCGGAAATGCTAACCATGCCTCAGCTGCCCAAAATGTTCCCCCAGCCCCCTACTAAGATGGGAGCCTGCTAACACCCCCCCCCCATCGCCAATGACAAAGTATCGTTTACTGGCGGCTGAGCATCATTGAGGGTGAAGGAATGCATTTTACATGCAATTTAATGAATAAAAAAGGTCGTGTGCAAATTACAGCCCCCTCCCCCTTTGGGGAGTTCTAAATTCGCTTGAAACTTAACTAAAGCCCAGCACAGGCAGGTCAATAGACGCTGGAAACTGGAGCTAAATTACTAAAAACCTGGGAATCGTAATAGCTGAAGGTTGTAATCCAGTTTAGCACAAAGGGCATTTGGAACCCTTTTGAGAAAATGCTAATTTTCCTTTAAGTACTTAGAGCCCCCTCTCCTCGACCACCTGCGGATTTTTTGATCTGCTAATTATTGCCCGGATTTCATTTTCTTAGCTCAAAAACTGCATTCTCCAATGAACTGACCAAGAGGGATCTAGAGGCTTCGCGGTATAGATTATAATCTAAATTTATCGATACTGAGCCTGGTCCCAAAATGCAATCATTAAAAATAAAAAATAAAAATAAAAAGTTCTTCCCCAAGCCACAAGGGGAAAAAGGGCTCCCCAAATCCTTTCTAAGAATTCTTGGTGAAGACTCCCAGGCACAGGAAGGTAGGGATCCCGCAGAGATTCCCCGGGTGCAGATCTCGGGACCCAGCTTGCGTCACTCACCAGGTGTGTGCCCCTATTCGCACATGACCGGTCTCCAGAGGGCGCCCGAGCGCTAAGTGGCGGGGCTCCGACCGCGGGTGATCCGCAGAAAACGCTTCCCAAACCGCGGTGGCAGCGCGCGCCCAGCGGCCTCAGGGCGCAGCCAGGTTAAGCGCGACTCCAGCCAGCGGAGATTTCGGGAGGCCCTTCAGTAGCAAGCTACCCCTCCATACCCCCAGAAAGTCAACCATCACCCAAAGCCAAAAAAGAAAAGAAAAAAAAAAAAAAACCACACACTAGTATGCACTCACCCCCAATGGAGGTGGGGGGGGGATGGGAGGTCAGCTCAGGACCAGGGGAGGGGTCAGGGCCGGGAGCTCGCCCCTCCTCTCCCAAGGAAGCAGGCGGGCTTAGGGTTAACCCTTTTGTTCCAGGTGGACCAGGCGACCCAGCCTCTCCTCAGTCCGCCCCCCCACACCAGCTCTCCTGGCCAAGGCACAAAGAGTCCATCCCCCAGCTGCAGGGCCCTAGGATGTGGGATGCTCCGACACCCCAAAACTCACATCCGCTTCCTCGACCAAGTAACGACCTTCCATTTGCCCTGAGGGGGGAAAAATCAGCTGGGTGGGTCACTGAACTTTTGAAAACTCGGAAAGTTGCGGGGAAGTAGGATCGCACGCCCGAGAAAGCCGGAGCGTCAGAGTGGAGCGCGCAGAGTCCGCCGCTGCCGTGCACCGCCCACCAAGCGCGGAGAGCTGTAATCTGGCGGGAGACCCAGGGGGACCCCCTCCCCCACGTTCCCAATTTCTCCGGCGACAGTCCGGCGGGTAGGGGCGAGGGGCTGGTGGAGACCGGCTGGGAAGGCGCTCGCCCGCAACTCGGGCCGCGCCGAGGTCCTGAACTCCGCGGAGGCGCGGGCCGGGTCAACCCCAGCCCGACCTCTCCCCTTTCACCTCCCGGCGTGTGCTGAAGCCATGCCGCCCGAGGGGTCCGTGCAATAAATAAATAAATAAATAAATAAGTAAAAGAGGGTGCGTTCCGGCGGGGGTGACCATGCACCCGCCACCCGGGCCCCGGCCGGCACCCTCCCGCTGGCCGCGGTTATTTTTAGATAGTCGGAAATCAAAGATGGCTGGAGGTCAGGCCCCGAAAGGTTAGGGCGAGGATCGGCAGCAGGCGGCGTAGCCCCCGGGGAAAGGCGGAAAGCAAAAAAAAAAAAAAAAAAAAGTAAACGAAATACCTAAAATTACGAAAAAAATAAAATAAAAGCTTCCAACAGAGCTAAACCGAGTAGCCTCCCCCGCCCTCTGTGCTGCGCGGGTGGCCCGCACCCCGGCCTGGGGGTGGGGAGAGGTCGCGCCCCCTCCCCCCACTCTGCCTGGGAGGGGCGCGTACAACAGATCGCCCTCCTGGGGGGGGTACCCTAGAGGTGCGCCCCTCCTCCTAGAGGCCCCCAAGGGGGTGGAAGAGAGGGTGGGAAGACTTGGGGGTCTCTTTCTTTTAAAAGCGGCGCGACCGGAGAGGGGAAAAGGCAAGGCAAAGTTGCCGTGTGTGAGGGGGTGCTTGTGTATCAAGGCGAGGGAATCAACTATGGGACTGAGGACAAGGAGAATCATGCTGGTGGGAGAGTGAGGCAGAAGGAAAATGGGAGGCCAACTTTGCAATAAGAGGGAGATAACTGGGGGAAACTTTCTTGGGGGGGGGGGCCTGAGGCTACCTCCTTCCGACCCTCTCCGTCTCTCCTTTCCCGGAACGGAGTCCGGGATCCCGGTTCCAAAATCTGTTCCGGGAGCCCGCGCCCTCGAGGGACGCACCGCGGTGCTGGGAGCGACCTCCGGGACGCACGGACAGACGGGCGCACGGACGGGGCCGCAGCTGCACTCACCCGGTTCCTCCGCCGCCGGCGCTTCTGCGAGGTTGGGGCTCGGCTGCTGCAGCAGCGGCTGCTCGCCCTGGCCCTCCTCCGAGTTGATGTGCTGGGGCTTCGCCTGCTTGCGCCTCGACATGGTGCGCGCATCGGGGCGCCGGGAAGAGCCCTGGTGACTTGCCACCAATTCCTAGAGTTGGGAAATTTTACCCCCCTTCGGCCGGAACGCGCATGTCCCAGTAATTATTATTATCAATAATGCATTGCGATTTATCATGAGCCCTGACAGCTGATTGGCCTGGGTCCAAGACCTCAGAGATCATTTAAATAAGCCCTCATTGATCAGGGAGGGGCGAGGCATGCTGGGCCTTGTAGTCCGGCCCTACATGTGACAAAGGCGTGTTCATCAGGGAAGCGTAGCTAATTAGCATCCGGGCTCAGATTGGCCGGGGCGTGGACCGACTCGGAGGAGACCATCCTCGCGGCCACTGTCCGAGTGTTGGGAAGAGAGAAGAAAAAGCGGGGGAATCGGATTATTGAAAACCAGGGCCGGACATGAAAGTTCTAGAACCGATGTGTCTTGGTAATACGTTCCAAAAAAATTACTGAAGTAGTTCACGTGGTTGATAACTACCAGCTGAAAAAAGAAGGTCTCTCCCTTCACAGAAAAATACTTCGGTTCAATTTTTACCTCTAAACCCAACCTGACCGGAGACTCGAGTCCCTTTCCAGGTTTTTGATTGAAATTTTTAAATTGCTTTTGGAAAGCTGCCGGAGTGGCCGGTGGTACGCGCGGCCTTCTGCCCATTCCAACTCTTCAAGCTACACCCCCCCCCCCCAACACACACAATTTCACACTTCGTCCCACCACGATTTGCGTCGGGATTCACATTCACGAGCGTGGGTTTGTTATTACTGTGTAAACTTCCTGAATTTTAGAAAGTACTTCTCAGCCCCTGTCTGCTAAGTGTAGAAAGGACAGATTAAAAGCAAAGTTGATCAGAGATAATTCCAGAATAGCGAGCATTTGCGGTTTCAGTCTGCTGTGGGAAAGAGTGGGCGTCCTAAAGGTACCTGGGTGTTTGTACTCACTGGTCACTAGGACATTTTGCAATGCAAGACCTCGTAACAAAAAAGACCACTTCCGTTAAGAGGTTGTAGGTTCCTGATTCAGGGATGGCCTGGAATTTTCTAAAGGGGCGTGTATGAATATAAAATTATACTTTACAAATCTCATAAATTTAATTGGATAGCTCCCTTCCACAACTTATGAGCTCAGTGGTGAAGGAGTATTCAACTGACTGGTCAGCCTTCTGTGGTGTCACTGTAAGACCTCTGGATATGTGGTTCCTTATTTGACATTTCCATCCTTATTAGGGTCTGGGCAGACACCAGCCTTTCCTCAGTCTTCGTGCTTGGGGTTTTGTTTTTTGTTTGTTGGGGGGGGGTATTATTATTATTATTAGCTGTTTGTCAAGTTTGCTGTTTCTAAGAAGCTGATGAGGGAGGAAGGGGGAATAAGAGCCTGGCCTCATGAGCATTGAGCATGTTCACCTGAGCCTTTGGACAAACCAAAGCTGAATAAATCAGCTGGAACACGATTTTAATATGAGTAGCTATGGATAAGACATTATAGAAGAAACGCCTGACTTCCAATTTTGACCAGTCTTCTGGAACATGTTTTGAATTATTTGGAGGATGCCATCTAAAACAAATAGGACAGCCCTCTTGCAAGCCAGGGTGCAGCTGGCAGGGAAGAATTCGTTTTCATGTTACATAAAAGCTCTCAGGATTCTGATACTGAGTCAGAAGGCAGATTAACACCTGCTTCTGCCTAATCTGCCGATATTCTCAACACCTTTCTGGGAAGGGAGCCGAGCAGGCGTAGCTATTCAGAAATCTAAAGGAATGTACAGTTTATAGCTCAAGAAAGATGAGCCAGCCCTTTAAGGAAAATGTCGTGTGATAGAATTCTCTCCTTTATCTTGCTAGTGATCGTTAAAGCATGGCAATCATATTTGTCTGAGAATGAGGTGGGACCATTGGGCCATTTCAATCGTGACAGTGATCCTGACTGATGATAATTTTCATAAGGTGGAGGCTGAGAGACCTCAAGTTTGAGGGGAGCCCTTGTCTCAAAGACAAAGAAAAGGTAAAGTCAGGAGGAAGCAGAGGACAGTGGTTTTTTGCTTTGTTGTTGTTGCTGTTGTTGATTTCATGTGCATTGGTTCTTTGTGAGTATGTCTGTGTGAGGGTAGATCCCCTGGAACTAGAGTTACAGACAGTTGTGAGCTGCCATGTGGGTACTGGGGACCAAACTCAGGTCCAGTGGAAGACCGCTGAACCATCTTTCCATCCTGACAGTAGATTGGTTTTATTATTATTATTTCATTTTATTTTTGACTTTTTTTTTAGAGAGTTCTCACGTAGCACAGGTGGCCTTGAGTTTTTAATGCTCATAGCTTCACACACACACACACACACACACACACACACACAGAGTTGTTCTTGGATTAGAGGTGTGAGATACCTTGACTACTAAGCATACTCCCTGTTCATCCAGTGTTTCCATTTCGTGAGCCACAGCCAGCAACCAGCGGAGAAATGGACTGAGCCTTTGGAGGGGAACAGAGCAGAAAAAGGATGAAGTGTGGAAGGCAAGTCTCTAATCCAAAGTTTTCATGTGATGGCTTAGAACACCTTAAGCAGCCAAAAGTCCTGGGTCAGGCTAGATACAGGAAAGAGACTGGATTTTAAGGCAATGGCTCTGTTGGGTGATGGGGTTTGCAAAGACTGATTGTTTTCAGGGTTGGTTCTAGGCGCTACTTCCAAACAAGGTTGATAACTAGTAGGTTTTTCAGCTGTCTGTGAATGCCCAACCTCTACTATATAGAAAGAGATTTGGGGTGCATAACCCCATTTCATTCCTGCAGCCACTGAGGCTCCTTGTGTAACTGTTTATTTGTTGATCAGGGTCATTTGCATCCCAGGCTGGTATTCAGTGCACTTTATAGCCAAGGATGATCCCATCCTCCTGTTTCCGTCTCAGTCCCTAGGATCACAGGTGTCTGGCTCCCTCCTTAAGGGAGGGCAACCTTGAATATCAACCAACTGCAGAGCTGTGTGCGTTCAGGGACTTTCCGACTGGGGTGTATAGGTCTCAGTCACTCCATCTTCTCTCTGCCTTCCCGTTCTCCCCTCCAACTTTTATCTAGCCCACTCCTGAGCCCCCAGTTCAGCCTTCCTTCTTCCACATTAGGTCACTTATTTTTGCCCAACTTCTCCCCCCTGCCTCTTTTAGTACCAACTATCTGGCAAGAACTCTTTCCTTTTATGGCATAGACTATATAGTTCAATATTTAGGGCAGATTTCTTTTTTTTTTTTTTTGAGGGGTGGAGGGTGAGGCCGGATCACACGTAGCCCAGGCTGCCCTCAGTCTTGTGGCAATCTTCCCTGCCTCAGGTTCCCAAGTGTTATCTTCTTCCACCCTGTAAATCCCTGGGATCAAACCCAAGTTTTCCGGTTTGGCAGCAGGCATCTTTAGCAGCTAAGCCATCTTTCCAGCCCTTGTTTGTTATTTGAGACAGACTAGCTTCCAACTCAGTATATGGCCAAGGAGGACTGTGAGCTTCAGATTCTCCTGTGTCAGCCTCCCAAGTACAAAGATGACAGGCGTGCACCACGGTGCCTCATGGAAGCAGCGCTGGGGGTGGAACCCAGGGCTTTGTGCATGATGGGCAAGCCCTCCACCAACCAAGCCGCATGCCAGCCCCCTGTATCTTTGATTTAGGGTATTTTTCAACATCCTCCAGTTCTTCGTGACTCTCACTTCATTGGAAGCAGGAGAATGAGTGTATATGTCTGTTTGTCTGTCACACTGCAGCCTCGTCAGGACTGACGGCCTCACCTCTGTGTCCTTTCCACTTGGCTGTAGTAATGGGACGTAGAAGGCACAATAATCACAGTGAGCCAATGAATATGACTCTAGAGACCCTGGGCATAAAATAAAGTGTTGAGGGCAACGATTGGAGAGGAGGGAGTATCTAAAGTGATGCAGACATTACAGACAGCTGTTGGTAAGTCCTTAAAATTCAAAGTGGAATTATAGGAAATAACAGTGAGCAGGGTCTCAGAGGGATATTCTGATGTCTATGCTTATAGCTGAATTCCGCGCAATACTTAAAAGTTAGCAGTAACCCAAGTATCCATCAAGGGATGAATGGATAAACTCAATGTGGACTACAGCACAATGAAATATTATTCAGCCTTTTCTTTTGTTTTGTTTGTTTGTTTTTTGTTTTTCGAGATGGGGTTTCCCTATGTAACAGTCCTAGCTGTCCTGGAACTAGCTCTTGTAGACCAGGCTGGCCTCGAAATCACAGGGATTCACCTGCCTCTGCCTCCTGAATGCTGGGATTAAAGGCGTGCACCACCACTGCCCGGCCTCAGTCTTTTTTTATATTATTATTCAGCCTTTAAAAGAAAGCTGGCTGTGGTGGCACTTGTCTTTAATCCCAGTACTTAGGAAGCAGAGGCAGGCAGATCTCTGCGAGTTTGAGACCAGTCTGGTCTACTTAGTGAGTTCCAGGACAGCCAGGGCTACATAGTGAGACCCTGTCTCTAAAAAAACAAAATTAAAATAAAAAAGGCCGTTCTGACACATGCTACAATATGAATGAGCCTTGACGTTATGCTAAATATGACAAGGCAGCCCCAAAGGACAGGTACTACAGGTTTTAGAGAGGAGTCTAGAGGACCTGCCAGGCAAAGGGTCCACGTTGGCAAGAACAGGCATCTGGACAAATGATTAGTTTTTAACTGTGTTTGACACAGAGGCAGAGGTGATGGTTAGCCCACTTCACTTTGGCAACCTTTTTACTCTCTATATATACACCACCTAGTCGGCACTTTGTAGTCCCCTCCCAACCCCGCTTTTGGGAACTGGAGATCAGACTAGGGCCTCTCACACGGGGGAGGGCTCTACAACCAAGGTCACCCATAGGCTCCAACTTCCTTCCTTCCTTCCTTCCTTCCTTCCTTCCTTCCTTTTTTCCTTCCTTTCTTCCTTCTTTCCTTCTTTCCTTTCTTTTTTGTTTTTTGAGACAAGGTTTCTCTGTGTAGCCTTCACTGTTCTGAAA